ATACTAAAGATCTTCTCGGATGATTATATATTTTGACAGTGGACAACACTGGGACTTTAAGATACAGGCATGACTAATTTTGATGCTCAGGAGTAGTGTATTTATTATTGTACTGTTGGACCATTTGGCTGTGGGTTTCTGTACATCCCTTTTAGTAAATGATGGAGTACTTCAGTGGATGTGTCTACTTTTGTGCTCTATTGGGGCTGCTATCAGATTGTTGTTGTTAGGGCATACTTGAAACGGGTTGGGTTCAAGGCAATGGGTTTAGGGTTGTTTCCCGACTTGATTATGATGATATTGGTATTGGGTGGATTGTATTTGTGCCCTGATATATGACTTTTGGACAAAGTGATTGCAATACTTTGATATCAAAGTTGATAGTTTTGTCCCTTTTTGAGTCAATGTTGGAGCATTCTCATGGAGCGAACGGATAAAGTATGACCGTATGAGCATGTTGAAATCCGAGGTGAGTACAAGGGAGTGGGCTCTCTTAAATTTTTTCATTATATGTTAAGTTCCTGTTTGGTACACATTCTTTAAAAATATTTTCTTACAAAACTTATTTTCAACAACATATTTTTCAATAAAATAATACTTTTCATTACTTTATAATCACAAATTTCTCATCATATCACTATTTAAAATACATTATTTCCTCAATAATATCCATTAAACACACCCTAATTAATACGGTATGAATCCCAGTGTAAGATTGTGCATTATCAAACCCTAACTCTCCCGATGTTGCCACACTGCCACTCCGTTGATCAACATTGCTGACAGCAAAGATACGCAAAAAATACTTGGTTGTATTATTTTTCAAAATTCTCTTTTCTTGTGCAAAATCCTTTCAAATTTCGGCTATAATAGTATGTAAAATTCACGATAGATACAAAATATTTGTAACCAACAATGCAGGCAAAGAAGCTGAGAACAAAGGGACTTCATAAAAAAAAAGTCAATATTCTTCATGTTGATGTCAATTCTATTCTTTTATCGTTTAATTTGATTGCATATTCATAGTTTCAATTAGGGTAGTGGGTCGTGGCTGATTTAGCCCCTGTTTGAGCTAAATTATTTTTTTCATTCTCATTCTTCCACTCATTTTCAACTACACATTTTTCAATAAAATAATATTTTCCATCACATCAATAACATTTCATTTTTTTTCAATCACATATTCTCTATCACATCACTTCAAAAAATACATTCTCTCATTTTAATGTGCACCAAATGAACTCTTAATTGATGAAAAAAGACAAGAAAGATATTTGGCTAATATTCAACATTCAAAAATACGATTGTATGCTTAATAAATTACTCATCGGTTACCAAAAACATTGAGTAATGTTATTCAACGATAGCACTAATCTATATAAAAGTTATGTCAATACCACACTGTTTATAATTGTATTAGTCATTGCACCAATATAAATGAATAATATTAGAAAAATGTTATGAATACATAAGTGTACCCACAGTGGAGTCTATAATGGACACTCGATGTCCTGATGAGCCCCCTATTAGTTATGTCAATACCACATTGTTTATGATTGTATTAACAATATTTTGTTGATATTTCTTCATTGCACTAATATAAATGAATAATATTAAGAAAATACTATGAGTGCGTAAGTGGCGCATAGGGGTGTCCATAACGGAGGGGCGCCGGGTACCCATAGCACAGCCCATAATATTATTGGGTTATGCCACTTGAACATCAAGTGGTGTACATCAAGTGTTACACCCCCTCACATGGGAGGTGAGATTCACTGAAATAATATTTTTTTATTCAAGTGGACCCCACCCCCATGTAGAGGGGGTGTAACTCCCGATAAAAAGTTTGATGTTCCATTAGCATTGTCCAATATTATTCTTACCAGATTACACGATATCAATATTTCTTATTCAAATGGTGAATATTTTTCTTTATTTTTTAAAAAAAATCTCACTTTTCAATAAATGAATTTGATTTAACCAAAAATGAAACAAAGATAGGCAAATCACAAATGTGAAAACAATGAGAGAGAGAGAGAGAGCGACATATGAGAGAGAGAAATAACTA